TCTTCTTCCCGTGTCACTTCACATCATCTTCCCTCTGGACGTGTTTGTCTCTGTGTCTAAATTTCTCCTTTTTGTAAAGATACTAGTCATATTGGATTAGAACCTACTCTAATATGTCATCTTAACTAGATCATCTGCAAAGGCCTTATGTACAAGTAAGGTCACATTCACAGGTACTGTGAGTTAGGACTTCAACATATTTTTAGGGGACACAATTCAACTCATAACAGATAGCAAATTTGAAAGATAGAATTTTTAGTTGACAGTTTTTATCTTCTTTCTTGCAGGACTTTAAGTACATCATTCCATTGCCTCAGGTCTCCATGGTTTCTGATGAGAAATTGACTGTTAATCTTATTAAAGGCCCCTTATATGACATTAGTTGCTTCGCCCTTGTGACTTTCAAGACTTTGTCTTTATCTTTGGACATTTTGATTATGAGTGTCTCAGTGTGGATTACTTTGACTTTATCCTACTTGGTCCTTTTTGGATGTGTAAATTTGTATTCTTTTATAAACTTTGGAAAGCTTTTGACCATTTCTTCTAATATTCTTTCTTCCTTTTTCTCTTTCTTTTTTTTGGGGGGATTCAGCATATGTTAGTATGCTTGATGGGTGTCCCATAGGTTTCTCCATTTTTCTTCATTCTTTTTGTTTTTCTGTTCCTCAGGCTGGATAATCTCAATTGATCTATCTTCAAGTTCATGGATTCATTCTTCTGTCTGCTCAAATCTGCTGTTAAACCAAACTAGTCAGTTTTTCATTTCGGTTATATTACTTTTAGTTCCAGAATTTCCTTTTGGTTCCTTTTTGTAATTTCTCTTTGCTGTTATTTTCTACTTGTTCATAAATTGTTCTCCTGGTTTTAGTTCTTTAAGAATTTTTAAGACAGCTGATTGAAACTCTTTGTCTAGTAAGTCTAATATCTGGGCTTTCTCAGAGGCAGTCTCTATTAATTTTTTTCCCCGTGAATGGGCCATACTTTCTTGTTTCTTTGCATGCCTTATAATTGTGGGCATTTTGAATATTATCATATAGTTACTCTGTAAACCACGTTCTCCTTCCTTCCCAGGATTTGTTGCTGTTGATTGTTGTGAGCTGTACTCATTTGTATGTTTGATGACTTTTTCTAAACTATTTTTTTAAGACTATTCTTTCCATACTGCAACTGAAGTCCCTGTTTTGCTAGCAAATCAGGTAGTGATTTGAAGGAGATTTCCTTAAATATCTGAAAACAAACAAAAATACTCTACCAGTCTTTTCAAATTGGCTTTGTTTTGAGGTATTCCTTCAACAATTGTCCAGGATGTTTAGAACTCTCGGTTTTCCCTTGCTGCTTGTACAGAGCATAAAGGTCAGCAAGAGGCAAAAGCTTAGGGTCTTTTCTGAGCATGTGTCCAGTCCTTGGCATGTGTGTAGCCTTCTGGATTCCCTGGTATATGTGGTAGCTTTCCAGAGTTCTTATTCCCCCATGCATCTCTTTCCCCAGCCTCTTCTTTCCCAAACTTCTGGTCTGTCTATTGGTTGCCTCATTTGATGTCCCTTGCCCAATCAGATGTGGTTATGGTTAGTAGATAGGCCTTTAAATGCTTTTGACAAATGCTGTCCAGGAGGCCACTTCAGCCTCGAGAAAGCTCTGAAGCAGGTGAGGGCCCATCCCTCAAAGAGTCACCAGACAGGTTAAAAACACACAACCATAATTCTTTTGAGAGCAAGGTCTGTGTTGTTCCTTCTGCTACCAGCAAAGAGTGTGACTAGGAATGTGGGCTGTTATCTTCATGGTAATGGACAAGCTTGGGTATGAAGGATGGCGGGGAGGTATGTTAAAATGGCACAACACTCTCTTATCACACCCAACAGCTTCTTTCTTTATTAACCTTCCCTCAGTTGTAAGCTTCTAAAATTGGATTCCAGAGTTCTGAAAAAGTTGTTTCTGATGGTTTTTGACAGCCTAATCATTGCTTTAGTGGAGGGACAGAGTTTTGGCATTTCTGACACTGCCATATTTAGTGATGTCACTCATTAAACCTGGAGAGTTCTCAGTCATTATCACTTTGTTTCCCCTCCTCCATTCTTTTTTTAAAAAAAAATTTTAATATTTATTTATTTATTTTTTGAGAGAGAGAGAGTGAGAGAGAGCGCACAAGCAGGTCAGGGGCAGAGAGAGAGGGAAACACAGAATCAGAAGCAGGCTCCAGGCTCTGAGCTGTCAGCACAGAGCCTGACATGGGGCTCAAACTCACAAACTGGGAGATCATGACCTTAGCTGAAGTTGGACGCTTAACTGGCTGAGCCTCCCAGGTGCCCCTCCTCTCTTCCCTTCTTTTGAGTCTTTTCTTCTGGAATTCCTATTAGGCTTATGATGGACTTTCTCATTCTATTTTCTCTGTCTCAACTTCTCTTCTATTTTCTGTCCTTATCTCTCAGTGCTATATCCTGGGTCATTTCCCCACATCTTTCAGTTTGCTCATTCTCCAGCTTTGTCTGATATGCTTTATAACCCATCTATTGACATTTTTAATTCAAAAACTATATGTTTAATTCTAGACATTGTATTTTGTACTTAAAAAAAGATCTTTTTATTCTGTCTTTATAATGTCTTTTCCTGTTCTTAGGGCTCTGTTTATGTCTTTAATTATTTTAAGTATATTTCTTATTATTTTCAGACAGCTCTTCTGTTAATCTCATATTCTCAGGGTTCTAATCCTCCTCTTTTTTTTTTATGTTTGCTGATTGTCAATTCTTAGACATGGGGATTTTAAAATCAAGTGTTTTGTAGTTTTGAACTGTGCATTCATTTTTGACAAGTCTCTCCCCACCCCCACCTGTACTGTGAGAATTTCTTTATGCTTTTTTTTTTAAATTTTTTTTCAATGTTTATTTATTTTTGGGACAGAGAGAGACAGAGCATGAACGGGGGAGGGGCAGAGAGAGAGGGAGACACAGAATCGGAAACAGGCTCCAGGCTCTGAGCCATCAGCCCAGAGCCCGACGCGGGGCTCGAACTCACGGACCGCGAGATCGTGACCTGGCTGAAGTCGAACGCTTAACCAACTGCGCCACCCAGGCACCCCTCTTTATGCTTTTTTAAAAAATTTATGTTTATTTATTTTTCAGAGAGAGAGAGAGAGAGAGAGAGAGAGAGTGTGAATAGGGGAGGGGCAGAGAGAGGGAAACAGAATCTGAGGAAGGCTCCAGGCTCTGAGCTGTCAGCACAGAGCCTGACGCGGGGCTTGAACTCATGGACCACGAGATCATGACCTGAGCCGAAGTCAGACCCCCAACTGACTGAGCCACCCAAGCACTCCAGTCTTTATTCTTTGATTGTGACTTTGCATTTGTTTCTGTCAGGAGTCCCAAGGACATTATCAGAACGTCATTAAATTGGGATCATTTTATTCTAATTCCAAGGCACAAGTTTTCTAGGCTGCAGGAGGGTTTCCAGGATGAAGGTGGTAAAAATTCAAACCAAATCTGTACAAAATGCAGGCTCAAGGCTTCTATTTCTCAAAGTGGTCTTTTTTGTTTTTTCCACTCCAAGCTCAGGCAGAGGTGAACAGGCCTCTTGTTCCTCTGTTTGGTGGGGAAAGGTGTCTTCTCTGCCTGTCTTTTCCCTAAGGGTTCAGTCTTTGCAGGGTGCTGGCTTTACATAGGGGTCTCAGTTCTAAATCCCCATTTTGCTTAGGACCAAGGCCTCATCTCCTTTAACTCAAGAGTGTATGAAAATCCATTCTCCAGGTTCCTGGGGTAATACTTCGTAGGCCATTGCTACCCACACTTCAGCAGGTTATTTGATCACTGCTCCTGTTTTTCATTTTTGGCACTTGTGTGTTTCCCTTTTTACCAGCTCAGCCATTCATTTATAGCAGTTGTGTTTGCACTTACCGTAGTAGTTTTAGGTAAGTGCAGCAGGAGGATTTTCAGGGTTTATTGAGTTTTCATCTTGCTGGAACTAAAAGTATCTTTCAAGTTCCTTGGCTGGGAGCTTGCCCTCTGCTTGTTCCTTTACTTTGTCCTCTGCTTACCCCTTTCCCAAGAGTCGTATTTGGTCCTCCTCTCCTTTCTTCCTATATTGGGGGTTCTCGCCTACCTCCCTGAGACCTATGAATCCCTAGACCCTAATAACTTTTGACAAGGAAGCAGGACGGCGTGTAGTTAGGAACTCAGACTCCGCTGACAAAGCTGGGTTTGAATCCTTTTTCCACCACTTACTAGCTGAGTTACCTGGGGGTAAGTTAGGTGGCCATTCTGGGACCATTTCATATGTAAAGTAAGTGAAACTCTGGAGGCTTGCTGTGAATGTGCAGTGAGGTGGGAGTTAGGTGGGTGTGCTCTACGATTCAAGTCCAGAAGTCCTCAGGCGCAGCATCAAGCACTTTGTATTTATTTCTCAGGCACCATCCCATGAGAGACTATTACTGTCCTCATATTACAGATGAAGGAAACAGGCTATGAGTGATTGGTAACTTGCCCAGCTCCTGTTCCAGTGGATGCCTGCTTTGGGCTGAACATTCTTTTGGGCTTAACATCTTTTACAGGGATAGTCACTAGAGATCTAAGACTGCTTAAAAGTGATTTTTTAAAAATTCTCATTTTATTTTACTGATCTATGGGAAGATGGGTTTTCTTCTTTGAATTCTGGGGATGGGGTACCTTCTGGGGTGATCTCTCCACTCAATTGTTAGCTGGCACAGGAGTGGGGGGGGGATACAGCTAGTTGCTACGCCACCCCTCCTGAGGAGAGCAAAGCCCCAGGAAGGCAGAGACCTCTTTCTTTGACCACCAGGTAGGTAAGAGGCCTCCCCGCCCCCAAGCTGGGGTTTTTGAGAGCCTTTTGTAACCTAACTTCAGCTTCCCCTACCCTGGCCCCCCTGGAGGTGCTGAACCCAAGGCCGGGGCACAAATACGGAGGGTGCAGGGTGTTTCTCTGTTCAGTCACTGTTCAGGACACACCCATGAATGCACACCAGCCTCAGGCGGTCCCCACCTCCTCTCACTTACAGAAATGGGCCACAGGATGAAGGGTATGTATCTGTTGATGGCGAGGGTGTAGGTGATGAAGAAGAAGCAGAAGATGGACATCTCCATGGTGATGATGAGCATCAGGAGAGGGTGCACGCTGGTCCCCGTGAACAGTACCAGTGCAGCTATCAGGCAGCCCTGCCAGGAGACATATACCTGAGCTACCGCAAAGGGCTCTCCCCTACTCTAGAGCCCTTCTGGAGCCCCTCTGCAGCCTGCTCCTTCACCCTCTTTTCATGGTTGGGCCTCCGCCCTGGGGTACCAGCCCAACTTACCAAGCTCAGGATCTTGACCTCGGCGTGCCCGATCACCCAGAACTCTCTATTGCCTTTCTTGAATTCCCACATGTAGCGGCGACACCCCTTCCTGGTGCCCACTTCATCCTTGGGCTGCACCGACTTTGGCTTTTTCTTGATCTCCTTGTCCTCTTGGTCTTTCTTGTCCCCTGGTTCGTCAGCTGCAGGAGGGGACTGCGGCGCAGCTGCGGGCGCCGATGCAGGTGCCGCCGCCGCCGCCTTCTTGCCCTTTTTGCCTTTGTCAGCCATCTTTGCGTGCGAGTTCTTAACTTCTCACCTCCTGCGCGATCTCTCTCCTGCTGGCGCCGGACAGGCCTGGCCTCTGAGCGAGACTGGTGCCCACCCACCCGCTCCCAGGTCCCGCTCAACGGCCGGGACGCGCGAACGCCAACGCCCGGCGCTGCCCCGCGCGCCACGTCTCCCTGCGGTCGCACCTCGCTCACACCTAGAGGACCGGAGTGGGCGTCAAGGGCCCGGCCCTAGCCAGGGCCGCCCACCCCCACGCGGGAGCCTCGGCCCCAGCCCGGGCCCCCTGCGAGGGGGAAGGGGGGCTCCCGCCTGCGCGGGAGGTGGCCTCAGGGTTGTACCGCCGTGCTAGCGTTGGCTGGAACCCCGCTGGGGTCAAGATCCTGGCCACGGCGTCCTGGGTCGGATTCCTCCTGCGCCGCGAGGGCGCAGCGGCCGCAGGAAGATGAAACTCGACTTTTACACAAGGCGACGCAAGACAGCAGAGATGTTCCCGATTTAGCAGCTCTGATTTTATGATCGCCTGTGGGCCAGAATGGGTGACAGCATATGCAAGCTCAGTGGTGGGATTACCCGGAGGGATGAGGCACAGACGCTTATGTCCGCGAGGGTGCCCCCTTTGAAGGTTCAGCCTTGGTCTTGAACCGTGCCCGCCGAGGATGCCCGAGGATGCCCGGGAGGATGGGCGCCTGGAGGCGGGTCCCGGCGACGGTGCGGACTGGGGTGGTTTGGCGGGCCCCTGCGCTGGCTGGGGTGGTTTGGCTGGCGTGGCCGCAGGTGCTTGTGCCGGTGCCCGTGCCCGCGCGGGGGCTTTTGCTGGTGCCCGTGCGGTGGGTTCCGCGGGCTGGAAGACATTCAAGTTCGATTCCCAGAACACTTTTCACCTTATTCCTCACCAACTTGGCAACCAGAGTCCCATCGAAGATACACACGATTGCCGATTGCCGCGGTGAGACACAGGGACTGTCAGACGCAAGACCATATACGGAAAGGAAAGGCTGCGTTACTTGGCAGCTTAACAGCAACCTGTCTTCCCTATCCCATCCCAGGCGCGGGCTGCAGGTGGCCTCCTGTCCCCCTCTGACCCTGCACTACCTTCTTGGTGTCTGCCCAGCTGGCTGCTGCGGCGCATTCTGCTATTCCCAGAGAAAAGGATTTTGGAAATGGGGGGTTTTGCTAACGGTAATGACCTCGCCTGATGCCTGAGGCACCAGGAAAGGACCAGAGAAGATTGCTGGCCTTAGGAGGCTCCAGACAGGGATGGGGTCCTGAGGAGGACCCTTAGTGGAAAGGACTCCTGGGCTATGTTTGTAAAGGGCAGGAAGGAATTCCCAAGGGGACCAACTGGGAGGAAGAAAACTTCAGACACTGGCCAGAAGTCTCCAAGGATTGTAGTGTACCTGAGACCTCTGGAGCTGGTGAAGGAGGTGGCAGAACTGAGGCTAGAAGTGTAGAATATGGGACTTTATCAAGAGGAAAGTTCAGGGGCGCCTGGGTGGCTCAGTCGGTTAAGTGGCCGACTTCGGCTCAGGTCATGATCTCGCGGTCTGAGTTCGAGCCCCGCGTCGGGCTCTGTGCTGACAGCTCAGAGCCTGGAGCCTGTTTCAGATTCTGTGTCTCCCTCTCTCTGACCCTCCCCTGTTCATGCTCTGTCTCTCCCTGTCTCAAAAATAAATGAAACTTAAAAAAAAAAAAAAAGAGGAAAGTTCAGGTGCCAGAGTCAGAAAGCCCATGTGCAGTAGCCATGAGGTGAATCAGACTGGAGGCAGGGAAACCAGTGAGATGTGGTTGGGGGCTCCTGCTATTCAGGTAGAAATCGATAGAGACCAGAGTGTGGGAGCCCCTGGCAGGTAGGAGAAGGCTTGGTGGCTGAGTTAGCAGATGGGGACCAGCAGCCCATAGCAAGCACCCAAGATTCTAGGTGCTCCCCAAATCCTGCCCACTTTAGGTGTTTCTCTTTAGTGTCACTTAACATTTTCTAGGTATGTCTTGCCTCAGCTAATCTGTGGGCTCCCACAGGGATAAGGGAATTTATCCCCAGCCTGGGCCTGGCACAATCCAATGGGACTGACAAATATCTACTGATTATGGGATGAATTGAAAGAACTCAAACTTTTTTTTCTGGATTAATTTCTGTTCCCAGTGCTTAACTTCTTAAACCAAAGTCTCACCTCCCCACTTCCCACCCTCCATCTTCAAAGCATTTAATCTGCCATTTCTTGTGCTCTTCATATGATGAAGATTTGAGTCTCAGTTTGTCCCAGCCTTGTGTCCCAGGGTAAGGTATTTAACCCCAGTTCTCATATCTGTAAAAATGAGAATTGTAAAGATTAAGTCAGAACATGCCTGGCCATGTGTGGGGCACATGCTGGCAGCTAGCTTCCTTCCTTCTTGAATAGGCTGGGCCATTCACTTTTAACAATGCACTTTTTTTTTTTTTTTTCTATTCATGTGTTTTCCTTTTCATGTGCTTAAAAAGATATTTTTTTTAATGCTTGTTTATTTTTTTTGAGAGAGAGTGAGAGGGAGTACAAGCAGGGGAGGGGCAGAGAGAGTGGGAGAGAGAGAATCCCAAGCAGGCTTGCACTGACATTGCAGAGCCTGACATGGGGCTTGATCCCACAAACTGTGAGATCATGACGTGAGTAGAGATCAAGAGTCAGACGCTTAACCCACTAAGCCACCCAGGCCCCCCTCATGTGCTTTTAAAATACAATTCTCTAGTCCAGAAAAGTCAAAGTCCTATTTATAGACAAGAACACCGTGTTGCAATATTTCAAAAAATAGTGTGTATGATTCTCAAAAGGGGAGTTTGTACCTATTTGGAGAATGAGTGTTAGAGTGAAGATTTTCGGGGCGCCTGGGTGGCGCAGTCGGTTAAGCGTCCGACTTCAGCTCAGGTCACGATCTCGCGGTCCGTGGGTTCGAGCCCCGCGTCGGGCTCTGGGCTGACGGCTCGGAGCCTGGAGCCTGTTTCCGATTCTGTGTCTCCCTCTCTCTCTGCCCCTCCCCCGTTCATGCTCTGTCTCTCTCTGTCTCAAAAATAAATAAACGTTAAAAAAAATTAAAAAAAAGAAAACTGTCAACTTTACATGAAAATGTGATTTCACAAAATACTTAAGTTGGCCAATTACCTACCTAAGGATGGATGCCTTTTTAAGACTTTACCTTTGATTACTATTAAGAGGAACCATTAGCAGCATAGTTCTTGTATCTTCCAAGACATGAGTTTATGTGATTTTAAGGTCCTTTGTCAACAGAAATGGATTTAGTTTCATTAAAGAACGCCATTAAAAACAAAAAAAGCTGACAACTTCCCCATCATTGTCTTCTTAAAGGGCACAGGAAAATGAGCATGAAAAAAACCTAGAGGTATGGGGGCTACCCAAATTGGACTTCCATAAATGTGATTTTTAAAAAACATATATTAACCTAATGTAAATTCTGCATTTCTATTCCATAATACATTTTTAATATAAAAATTAAATTTTAGATTAGCACTTTAC